GGGCATGGTGGCGCATGCCTGTAGTCCCAGCTACTCGGGAGGCTGAGGTAGTAAGATTGCTTGAGCCCAGGAGTGTGAGGTTGCTGTGAGCTAGGCTGATGCCACGGCACTCACTCTAGCCCGGGCAAAAGAGTGAGACTCTGACTCAGAAAAAAAAAAAGATTCATTTTTCCAGTGATCTACTGCTGTAAAACATGTCACTCCAAAACTTAGTAACTTAGCCAATTATGAACATTTTATTATCTTTCACAGTTTCTTGGGTCTGGAATTCAGGACAGCCTTTTCTGGTTGGTTCTGGCCTGAGGGTCTCTCCTGTTGTTGCAGTCAGACTATGGCTAGAGGTGAAAAAGTAGGGGCTGGAGTAGCTAGGACTTCTCTCTCTTTCTTTCTCTCTCCCTTCTCATGATCTTAGGGTCTTTCCATGTGGTCTAGTTTGAGCTTCCTCACAGCATGACACCTCAGGGTCCTCAGACTTATTACCTGGAGGCTCAGGATTCCTGGAGCAAGCAAGCCATCGGCCAGCAAGGTGGATGGATCCTGTCTTTCCTTTATGATCTAGCCTAAGAAGTCACACAAGGGCCTTTCCACCGCATACTGTTGGTTACAAGTGAGTCCACAAACCCACCCAGATTGAAGGGGAATGAAATTAGACTCTGTCCCCTGCTGTAGAAGGGGCAAGATTCTGTTATAGAAGAGCATGTGGGATGAGAGATTTTATTGCAGCCATTTTGGATTATATAATCTGTGGTGGATAAACCTGGAATGAAAAGCAAACAACAGGCTGGTCTGAAGGTAGTGAGTTATCTCACTTGATTGTTCACAGTCAGTTACAGATTGAACTCCTTGTTCTACTACTTTCCCCCTCCTCACTACTGCAATTGACTAAAAAAATTTTAAAAATTAAAAAAAGAAAAAAAAGAAAAGCAAACAACAGATCATACCAGGCCTTGTAAGCCACTGTAAAGAGTTTAGTCTTGATATGAATCGTGATGAGGAACCGCTGGAGGGCTTTTTGGCTTTTTTGTTCTGTTTTGTATCACTGGAGGGTTTTAGGCAAGAGAGTGAATTATCCAATTGTTTTTAAAAGTTTATTCTAGCAGCTGCGTGGACAAAGAATTCATGGGAAGGATTTGAAAGCACAGAGACCATTCAAGAGGGGGGTCCAGAAGTCCAAGTGCCAGACATGGCGGTCAGCCTTAGCCTAAGTGAGGGCACGAGGGAGAGAGTGGGGGACAAAGAAGGCCACCAGGCATCTGGCTTGTCCAGCTGTTTTGTTCACTAAGATCGAAAAGGAAGTAAATTTGTTTTGGACATGCTGGCTTTAAGAGTCCTAGACAGACGTATGAAACTCGGGCGATAAAAATTTAGGAAACAATACACATCATTTAAACAGGCACAGGAGTGAACGAGACGCGCGTCAGCCCAGGGATTTGAAACCTCTCTAGCCATTCCTGCCCTTTGCACAGCTCACCGCGCCAAGGTCTCAGACAGGCTGGAACACGCATGCGCTCACCTGCGCCCCCGGCGGCACCCCGCGGGAGCTTCCGGATCGCGCGCGCAAGCGCGCTGTGAGGCGGTCGCCATGGAGACGCGTGACCCCGGCCAGGCTGCGGGCTACGCTAGGAGCAAGTCGCGGCCCCCGGACAGATGAACTGCCGCGGTGGGGCCGAGGCGGCCGGGTACGGCGAAGAGGGCGAGGACGCGGAGGACGAGGAAGAGGAGCGGGAGGGCGGCGCTGCGGGCTCGCCGGGGCCCAGACTGCCCCCGATCGCGGCCGGCGCCCCGGAGCTGACCAAGCGGAAGGTGAAGAAGAAAAAGAAGAAGAAGACCAAGGGGTCGGGCAAGGGGGACGGTAAGAGGAGCAGCTGTCTTTGCTTCAGCTCCTGCACCCGAGAGTCTTCTCCGAGCACGCCCACCCCCCGCCGCCCGGAGACCCGACTACCTGGAGAGCGCTTCAGACCAGAGACAAGCTCACCAGAAGTCCTCCCGCTCCCCACACACGCCCCTTGTCGCAGCACAGTGATGCCCCAGCCCTACCCGCAAAGATCATGCGTATCAACAGAGACCCCCCAACACAGATATCCCTTAATCACCCCAGAAGTCTTGCAGAGACCCGCCATTCGCAAGAGCCTCCAGCCCCACACAGAGACGCTTAGCTTTACACAGACACCTCTCAACTTCCTAATCCCTCAGCCACAACTTGTAATCCTAAACATCCACACTTTCCCCACAGAAGTCTCAAGCCCTCCCACAGAGACCCTCCTCACCCAGAGACTTTCCCTAAGCCAAAGACACTAAGACATGACATGACAGTCCCTCGCTCACATACAGAGACACAGAGGTCCCCCTTGCCCCCGTGCATTAGGGGGCACCTGCCTCTGAATGGAGACATCCATACCCGTATAAATGCATATAAAGTGTCCTTCTAGCACGGACTCCACCCCCCGCCCCCCATCCACCAAGGGGCAGCTTTCAACTGCACAAACACCGTCACACCAGACACCGCAGCATCCTCTTACAATCCTTGACACCCTCCACAACACCGCCCCATAGCAACATAACGCCATCGACTGAAACTAAAGCACAGATAACCTGTCATGCTCACACATTCACAGTCCACACACACGTACAGATATTATGTTATACACTCACCTGCATGAACACCTGCCCCAGACAGTTCCTGTGCACAGTCATATGCATGTGGGTGCTCCAGCCTCTCTCGTGGACACCTTCACATACATACACACACCAACACCTGCGACAAACCCAGAGTCCCTACATCTCACCACGCTCTTCTCATAGAACCCCCAGACTTCTCAGCAGAGGCACTGAGCACCTACTTAGAAGAGAGAGAATTCCATAGTGGCATAGAATGCACCTGGCCATGAGTGCTGTGAGTCCATTGTCACCTGTGTGGTCCATCTCAGTGGCTTTGCCTATCAGGGAGGTGGCCTTGACCTCCAGTGGGGCTGGTCCTGGGCTCAAGTTTCTGGGCCCTGGTTCTTTGTGGCAGAGCTGGCACCACTGGCAAGCTGGAGGCAGGTGTGTCAGCCTTCCCCATGTCAACCTCATAGTGTGGGGAAGACCATAATTACTTCTTCAGGAGGAATCATAATAAAAAGGCAAGAAAATTTTGGAATTTACGTCAAGAGCACTATGTGTGTCTGCAAAACGAAATCAAGAAGTTTATTGTCTTTTTGGTGTAGCTTTTGACTGTAAAAATGACAGTGGCATATACCTCACACTGTCAGCAGGGGACACCAAATAGTTTTTGGGGAGTAGGAAGGTAAGAAAATGTCGAGAAGATTTTTTTTTAAATTCTATTTTCTCTTCTTTTTCTCTTAGGAAGAGAGATAGTTCTCTCTCCCCTCAAAATAAAAGGATGAGCTGATGAAAGAACCACAATTTGTAGTATTTTACATGCATGTTACATAATTCTGAAATGCTACTAATTTAAAAAAGAAATCAGTACAAGCACACAGCTGAACTATTTCCTGGTTTGGCATAATACTGCCTTCGTCAGTCAGATTTAGGGAGCTTTTCTGTTGTTCTCCGTTTCTTCCATCATAAAGCGTCTAGACTAGTGGTAGAGTCATAGCCTCCCAGAACTGGAAAATACCTTGGTGAACATGTGGCGAGGTTAAGCTGGGGGCAGCATGGCACAGTGGAAAGAACAGGCCACTGGGAGCCAGGCCCGCATTCAGATCCTGGCTCTGCCGCTCGCGGCATGACAGTGGCAAGTTACTGCAGCTCTTGGAGCCCCAGTGTCCTCACCTGGAGAACAGGGCTGATTTATTTTATCCAGAGGACCTGGCTCATAGTGTGTGCCCAATAAATGGTTCCTCTTGCCCCCAAATGCCTTGATCACAAGCATACGGGCAGTGGGTGTGCACGGGGCTGGCAGGCTTGGCGACCTGAGCCCTGGGTAAGGAGAGGCCTCCAGCCCCTTACATCTTTGGCTATTTTGGCACCATCCCAGGCAGGCCGAGGGCAGACGTCACCACGAACACTAACCTACTCATCTACTCAGCAGATAAACATCAGAGTCGGAGCCTGAAAAGCCAACAGCTTTCTTCATCCTCTCATGACATCTTAAATCCCAGCAAAGACCACGGCCCACGTCCGGAGCGCAGACAGGACAAACAGGAAAACAAGCACATCCCTCCTTACTCCTCCACCGTCAGTCTTCCCCACTTTGCCGAAATAGCAGAGAATCTTTCGAACCAGATCAATGAAAGCCTGCGCTGGGATGGAGTTCTCGCTGACCCCGAGGCAGAGAAAGAGAGGATTCGCATCTATAAAGTGAACCGGAGAAAGCGGTACCGGATTTTGGCCCTCAAGGGCTTCAACTCTGAGCCCTGTGCCGAGGAGACCCCTGAGAACTTATCCTGCCTCCCAGACAAAGGCAGCAGCTCCCACAGCAGGCAGCCCGCATTGAAAGGCAACCGCCCTGATCACTACTTTGAAGACAACCTTACCCCAAAGCTCCTACACTCTGATTTCGTTACTACTCCGCCAGAGTAAATATCACCCACAATGCTGACGGATTTATAATCTCGCTTTACCGCAAGTTTATTGTTAAAAAAGAATAAAAGGAAATCAGACCTGTATCTGAAGGAGACAGATGTTTGGTATGTGCATGGGATGAGGCCGACCTCTCCCTTCACCAAGATGCCCTTAATTGCCGGGGCATCTTTATGAATAAAAGCAATTTAGGGAGAAAAGTTCTTTTAAGGATTTCCTTTTTCTTTTTTTCTTTTTTTTTTTTTTGAGACAGAGTCTCATTCTGTTGCCCTGGTTAGAGTGAGTGCTGTGGCGTCAGCCTGGCTCACAGCAACCTCAAACTCCTGGGCTCAAGCGATCCTCCTGCCTCAGTCTCCCAAGTAGCTGGGACCACAGGCATGTGCCACCATGCCCGGCTAATTTTTCTATATATTTTTAGTTGTCCAGATAATTTCTTTCTATTTTTTTTAGTAGAGACGGGGTCTTGCTCTTGCTCAGGCTGGTCTCCAACTCCTGAGCTCAAACAATCCGCCCGCCTCGCTTCCCAGACTGCCGGGATTATAGGCGTGAGCCACTGCGCCCGGCCAGGATTTCCTTTTTCTTGAATAAACTGCCATCTCTCTGTTCTTCAATTTCTCAGCATAGCTGGATGTCATATAATCTGCCCCTAAAAAAGAAAAGAAAGTATGTAGATTATATAAATTCTGAGTCTAAAACTCACGGGTAAAACTCACACAGTACATGCTTCTGTAGACCCAGGGAAGAAGCCCCGAATATCCTGGAGACTTTTATTTTTTAAATTAAATACCTGCCCTTATGTGGCCTCAAAATAAGTGGGTTCCACAACTTCATCCCTAGGAGGTTATTATGGGAAATCCCAAAAGGAATATTGCTTCTTTTATAAATATGGTTCTCTCCTAACACCCCATTAAAATATGCCTTAGTGTACCACTTACCCTAAGTGTATATTCCTTCCTCCCATGGATATTTATTTATTTATTGAGAGACAGAGTCTCGCTTTGTTGCCTGGGCTAGAGTGAGTGCCGTGGCGTCAGCCTAGCTCACAGCAACCTCAAACTTCTGGGCTCAAGTGATCTTCCTGCCTCAGCCTCCCAAGTAGCTGGGACTACAGGTGCGAGCCACCACCGCTGGCTAATTTTTTGTTTCTATTTTTAGTTGACTGGCTAATTTTTTTCTATTTTTAGTAGAGATGGGGGTCTCACTCTTGCTCAGGCTGGTCTTGAACTCCTGACCTCAAGCAATCCTCCTGCCTCAGCCTCCCAGAGTGCTAGGATTACAGGCATGAGCCACCGCGCCCAGCCCCTCCCACAGATATTTATTGAGTGAGGGCTGTGTGTTATCTGTGTTTGCATTCTCCCAGAAGCAGCCCCTGAGACAAGAATTCCAATGCAGATAGATTGCTAGGGAGGTGAGTGAAAGATCAGTAGCGGTGCTAGAAGGGAGGGAACACAGCCAGTCCAGGGAACACTATTAAACCAGCTTTCATACTGGGTACCTGGAGCTTAATCCCGCTGGGAAACACTGGGAAACCCACTGCTAGATTATTCCACCTGAGGGTGAGGGAACTGGGGTGTTTACACTCCCCAAAGGCACTGGCTGAGGCTAGTCCTGGGTGTGTGTTAGTTTCCTGGCATTTCTAGCTGCTGCCCTGTGTGGGCCTAGAAGCCTAGCTCAGTGGTAGGGGAAATTCACCCGCAGGCACAAAGATGCAGACTGACAAGTCCAAAGGGCAAGGGTGGTCTCTGGGGTAGCCTCCACTGCCAGTGTGGGGTCTGAGAGGGACAGAGTGGAAGTCTTAGATGAGGTCCCTGCCTTTGACAATACAAACACCGCAGAATGCTTCTTGGAAAGTGAAAGTGGGCATCTTTCATTTAACTTTCAAGAGGAGGGGACAGGAGGGGGAACCTCGCCAATGCCCCAGGGTATCAACATAAAGGTGAAGACAGCAGGGGGCAGCTGCTGGTCTGGCATCTCCTGTGCCCTCTGGATCAACCACAGTGGCTGGGGGTGTGGTGTGGAGCAATCAGGGCACGCCGGAGTCAGTGTGCCTTGGTCACTTAGCAACGTCTTCCGTGGGTGGTGAGGAGCAGGGGAGTTGATCCGTGGTCATCTTGCTGCCATGAGGTGTCTTTCTGGGATAGTGGTTAAGATTAGGAGCTTTGACATCAGAGCTGGATTTATTTCTTTCCCATTACATGCTAGCTATGTGACCTCAGGCAGATTGCTTAACCTCTCTGAGCCTTAGTTGCCTCATCTGAAAATAGGAATGAAAATACCTGCCTTAGTGTTGTGAGACTCAAATGCAATAATTACATGAAGCATTTAGCATAGCACCTGACACCTGGAAGCACCAATCTACTGCAAGAGTTTCATGGAGACACTGTCCTGGGTGGGGGCATAGACCACACCTTATTGAAGGGTGAGCTTCCCAAAAGAAATGTGGCTTCAGTGGTTGACCAATAGATAAAATTCAAACAAACCACAAAACAAATTACAGGGGTCTGGAGCAAGAGAGAAAGTAGGAGGAATGAAGCAAGAGCCCAAAAGTCCAGTATTCTGGGAGAGGACTTTGGACCAGTTAGGAAAGGGCCCACTCGTAGCCTTGAACCAAGAGGGAGTCTGTGCTTCAGATATAAATATAGAAATCAGGTGGAGGGGATTATTAATGCTCTCACAAGCACAGAAGGGGTTCCATATCAAATCACCTTGGGTTAGAAGTTTTAAGGTATCTTCCCACCCAGGCTATATCAGTGAGGAATCCTTTATGGCAATAAACAGAAAATGCAATGAAAACTGGCTTAAAGACAAAGGGGAGTGGTTGACTTATAAAGCCAACAGTCTAGGGTTGGCTGTGTCTTCAGGTATGGCTGGATCCAGGAGCTCACACTGTGCCATCAAAATGTATCTCTCTTTCTCCATATTTCACTTCTGCCTCCTCTGTATTAGCTTCATATTCAGGCAGGTTCTTATCACAGTATGAAAAGATGGCCACTGACATCCTTATAGTTTTGTTTTTTGTTTCTTTTTTGGAGATGAACTCTGGCTCTGTCACCTGGGCTGGAGTGCAATGGCGCGATCAATGCAGCCTCAAATTCCCAGGCTCAAGCAATCCTCTCTTCTCAGCCTCCCAAGTAGCTGGGACTACAGGTATGTGCCACCATGCCCAGCTAATTTTTAAAGTTTTTTTAAGCAATGGGGCCTTGCTATGTTACCCAGGCTGGTCTCGAGCTCCTGGCCTCAAATGATCCTCCCACCCCAGTCCCGCGAGTCTAGTTTTGTGAAGAAGAGAGTTACTCCCGTGTCCCTATCCAGTGTCCATATCAATCCCAAGATGGTCTCTGGCCTGGCAGGGGTCATATGCTCGTCAGGACTAATCACAGTGGCCAAGGAAATACATGCAGCATTTGATGGCTACACAGGACTAGAGCGTGGCAAGGAGGTGAGGGACGGGGACAGGAGCACAATGCATTTACTGAGTGTTATAGAATCTATGCGGAATCTGTGTAGAATATAGAGTGATTCCCTTAAGAGGTGCCAAGTAGACAGAGACTTGTCCATTACCCTCCAGATGAAGAATAATTCCTTTTTAAAAGGCTCTGACCAAGGATGGTGCAGCTTGCATGGCAGGAGTTGATCTTGATTGGGACTGACTACTTGCTTATGTCAGGACCACCGACCTTTGGCCAATGCTGGGAGTCTATTAACTGAAGATAAACAGCGATTTGTAATCATGGGTCCATGAGTTGTTTGGGAGCAGTCAACACTGTTTAATACTAACTGGGCTTACGATTTGCACCTGATTTTGGTGGCGCCCAGGATGTAGGTTGCAACCTTTAGTCACATAGCTAGGATGTGCCCCCGTGGTCCGCTCTCTGTAAGAGACTCCCAGCGTGAGTAGCCTTTGGTTTTCCTGGTACCAAGGTGCTTCATACACACGTGGGTATGTGTGGTTTGAGCCCCGGAACGAAGCACTCCTGCGTGAGCTTCGTGAACACCCACCACGGACACAGGAAGACAAGGTCAGGCACGGAGCTGCCTTTGTGTGGGCTGGCACGGTGAGCGCCTCCGGGGGTCTCTGTCTCCCGGTATTCATGCCCTTCTCTCCAGTGTGTTGAAACGATTGACTCTAATGAATAAAATATGGCAAAAGTGATGGATATCCCTTCCCAGAGGAAGTTACAAAAGGACACTTCGGAGGAGGGAGGGAAGGAGTGGGCAGGCGGAGCGCAGGGGTTTTGAGGGCTGCGAAACTGCTCTGTGTGACAGACAGCACGATGGTAGATACGTGCTTTGGACACTTGTCCAAACCCACGAAACGTACAACACCAAGGGTGAACCCTGATGTCAACTATGGACTTTAGTTAATAACCGCGTATCAATGTGTACCACGCTAGCACAATATGTCAATAATAGGGGAAACAGGGGAGATGGGGGGGCGTATGGGAAATCTTCATACCTAAACTGCCCTTAAAAATAATCTGTTAGTCAGGGCGAGGTGGCTCATGCCTGTAATCCGAGCACTCTGGGAAGCTGAGGTGGGAGGATCGCTTGAGGTCAGGAGTTCCAGGCCAGCCCGAGCGAGACCCCGTCTCTAACTAAAAATAGAAAAAAACCCACAAAAACACAACAGTCCCCATTTATCTGGCAGTTCCTCTGCCCAGGCACGGTGTCAGTCATTTAACATGTATGATTTCATTTCCGCTCCACTATCGTCTTTCAGCTGCAGGGACTGGCAGGAGCAGTGGTTCTCTGCCTCAGCCTCTCAGGGTAGTTGACCAGATCCAGAAGGAAGCGGGAGCCCTTGGGACAACCCTGCGGCTCCCCAGAGAGGGTGGCGGTGTCCTCGCAGGTTCCTGGTTACAGGCTGTACTCTTCCCGCTCTTCTCCTTCTCTTCCCCCTTCTCTCCCTCCTCCTCCTCCTCCCCTTCTTCCTGCTCCTCTTCCTTCCTGCTCCCTCTCTACCTTCTCCTGATCTCTCTACCCCCAGCTCCCTGGCAGTCCAGGCCGTCGATGTGCAGGATGCTGGGGGGTGTCCTCTGGGATGCATTGTGTCCTTTGCCTCCGGGGACCAGGACCCACCCTGCTTGGAACCTGGAATCGAGGGCAGTGGGAGCTCCGGGGCTCTGACATCCTTCGCTGGAGCATCCCTGAGCCCAGGTGGCGGCGGCAGCACTCGGGAGGAGGAAAGGTAGGAGAGGAGGCTGAGAAGCCTCGCCTGGGATCCTCTTTCCACGTTTGAAGCGTGCTGACCTTTCAGCGGGGTTTCACAAAGTACTGAAAAAGGAGCATCCCCCCCTCCATTAAAAAACAAAAAATGTACACAGTGTAAAACAAAACGAGACGAAAATGTCAAAGATCCATGTTTACAGCGTGTAACCCCCAGTTCTTCTTCAGTGCCAACATGTCCTTTGTCTCGGGTTTTGCGGTGTGACTGGGTTGCAGGTGCTTTATCTGCTGTGCTGAGTCAGGTCCCTGGATTTGCATCTTCCAAAAATGTGTCTTCTGTTCTATCCGCTCCCATTCTTGTCATCCTCCAGCACTGATTCTCTTTAAAGAACAGAACCTTAGGTTAAAGAACCTTTAGGGTTTTTTTAATAGTTGTGTTGAAATGTAGTTGACATACCATACAACTCACCCATTTAGAGTGTGTAGTTCAATGATTTTTACTATATCACAGAGTTGTACATCTATCACCGAAGTCAGTTTTACAACATTTTCATGACTTGTAAAAGAAACCCTGTACTTGGAGCTATCACTCCTTCCGCCCCCCATTCCCCAGCCCTGAGCAGTCACGAATCCTCTCTCCGTCCCTGTCCATTCCCTGTTCTGAACATTCCATAACAATGGATTCGCATGTGCTCCTTTGCTTCCGGCTTCTCTGGCTTAGCGTAATGTTTTCAGGCCCCTCCTGTGCAGCACGTGTCAACAGGTCATCGCTCTTACGGCTGAGTACACCATGTTGTGTGGACATAGCGCACGTCGTTCATCCGTCAGCAGTTGGTGGACGTGTGGGTTGTTTCCAGCTTTTGGCTATTACGACTAAAGCTGCCATGAACCTATGCGTGCCAGTTTCTGCGTGGACATATGTTTTCATTTCTCTCGGGTATATACCTAGGAGGGGAATTGCTGGGTCACAGGCCAGGCCCACTGAATGATTCGAGGAACTGCCAGAGTTTTCCAAAACAGCCATTTTACATTCCCTCCAGCAGTGCGTGAGGCTTCCAGCTTCTCCACACTCTCTGGATCACTTGTCTGACTTTCTCATTCTACCCATCCTAGTGGGTGCGACGTGGTGTCTCATAGTGCTTTTGATTTCTGCTGATATTTCCCTGATGATCAATGATGTTGAGCATATTTTCATGTAATTCTTTAGTTTTAATGGCATGTGGGGAAGGAGAGGCGATGAACGAGTATGTGTGATCTATTGTGCTTAACTGGAAACACGGGAACTCATTTTAAAGGTGTGACAGAAAAAAATTGTTTTCCTCTAAATATTTGAAAATGTTATATAGCAATCTAAAGTATTTATCAACATGGAAGTTTTGTCCTTCTGTATGACTTTCCTGTTGAACTTACTGTGGAGTTAAAGATGCAACGTTGTGCTGAGTCTGGGCTGTGCAGACCGCTGCTTGCAGGGAGCGGGGGAGGGAGGGAGCAGACGGTCCCTCGGGGCTGACTACAAGGCAGAGCAGAGCCGATGCCAAAGCCAGTAAAGCTCCGTGTGTTTCCGTCAACGAGGCTGCGTCCATGTGTTGTGGGTCAGTGTGGTAAATACCGAAGGAATCTGGGAGAATCAACATAGGGCACAGAGCAGGTCTTCAAAGAGACAGACGGAGGATGTCTGATGGACTTTTACACTTTAATCATTGTGCAAAAGATGGGTTCACATGCATGGTAACTGTGAGGCTGCATGGTGGGTACATGGGGAGTTCCGTTGTTCTCTCTCCTCCTGTGTATGTTTAAACATATTTGTAATAAAAAGCTTTTATTTTTATTTTTTTATTTTTGAGACGGGGTCTTGCTCTTGCTCAGGTTGGTCTCAAACTCCTGAGCTCAAGCAATCCTTCTGCCTCAGCCTCCCAGAGTGCTAGGATCACAGGTGTGAGCCACCGCGCCTGGCTATAAAAAGCTTTTAAAAATAAAAGATGTGTGGCCAGGTGCGGTGGCTCACGCCTGTAATCCTAGCACTCTGGGAGGCCGAGGCGGGTGGATCGCTCAAGGTCAGGAGTTCAAGACCAGCCTGAGCAGGAGCGAGACCCCGTCTCTACTGAAAAATAGAAAGAAATGATCTGGAAAACTAAAAAAATATAGAGAGAAAAAATTAGCCGGGCATGGTGGCACATGCCTGTAGTCCCAGCTACTTGGGAGGCTGGGAGGCTGAGACAGGAGAATTGCTTGAGCCCAGGAGTTTGAGGTTGCTGTGAGCTAGGCTGACGCCACAGCACTCTAGCTGGGGCAACAGAGTGAGATTCTGTCTCAAAAAAAATAAAAAAAATAAAAATGAAAGATGTGGAGTGCCTCCTGAGGACGGCGCGGGGCAATAAGGACAAGCCGGCAAGGGTGGGCCGGTCCATTAAGACTATATTTGATCTGCATTTCAGGAAGTGAAACAAGGACAAATTGAGGGCGCACGCTGGGAGGATAGAGGGATGAGGTCGAAGGTGGAGTGTCAAGCTGTGCTGTTACACGTGTCAGCCAGGCTCCTGATGATCAGATTCAGGAGTGGCAGTAACTGAGCTGGAATGGGGGTAAAAGACGCTAAGCTGGGAAGGTGGAGGAACTGAGAGGCCAGGTTATTGGCTGATCTATCCACGAGGATGTCCGGGTCTCCACTGATTTTCTACCTCTACGGTTACTCCCCCTGGACCCATCCCACCTTTGATCCTTCCCAGGGCCTGCCGACACTCTGCATTCTTTCAGCAATCCTGAGCTTCAGACACTGAGTGTCAATGTCATAGCTCTGGACAAGATGTAGATGTAGGCCGGGCACGGTGGCTCACACCTGTAATCCTAGCACTCTGGGAGGCCGAGGCGGGGGGATCGTTTGAGGTCAGGAGTTTGAGACTAGCCTGAGCAAGAGCGAGACCCCGTCTCTACTAAAAAATAGAAATAAATTACTTGGACAGCTAAAATTATACAGAAAAAATTAGCCGAGCATGGTGGTGCATGCCTGTAGTCCCAGCTACTCGGGAGGCTGAGGCAGGAGGATTGCTTGAGCCCAGGAGT